TTACTTTCTATCATTAATTTTTAAAATTTTGAAATACTTCATATTTTCTATTTGTTACCCTTTTTATATGTAATATATAACATCATTTCTTTTCAATGATTTTTGAGTTGACCAATATATTGCAAATAAAATAAAAATAAATTATCTATATCTATCTAAAATATTATATATATATATATAAGTACTAATTTAAAATAATAAATTGATCTAAAAGTATTTTATAATAAATTTTATATTCAAACTAAGTTGTGACACGTACTAATAACTATAAAACAAACTAATAAACAAAAATAATATAATTAATATAACTAAATATAAACATTCTAAAAATATACTTATCGATGTAATCGAACTGAGTTGTTAAACGCTTGTTAGTTTTTTGTTCAAATTAATTTTATGTGTAACTTGAGGTGATAAACAATAGTTATTTGTACATTTATACATGTAGATTAGAAAAAAAATATCTTTGTTATTCTAATTTTAAATAACTTTTTTATTTACTATATGTTTTTTTAATATAATATATAAGTATCATATTGAACATATAAAACAAGAAATATTTTAATTATATAATATTTAATATGTAAGAATTGTAACTCAATTGGTAAATTAATAGGTAATATTGAGATAAAATAATGAGTGATTTATGAAAAAAATCGAATAAAGCATAATTTAATTAACAATTACGCGTCATTTTTTCGCAGGATTTTTTCGCAGGGCCATATTGTGGAGATGGGAATGACGAACAAGGAGAAGAGCACTTGCCCATGAATCCGCCAGACATGATTGTGGAGATGGGAGATCGGGAATCCTGCTGGCCGAGGTTGTCGGCGAGAGGAAAACAGCGCGCCAAATTTCAAGAGCAAAGGAGGAGAAAGAGTGAAGGGAGTGAAATTGGAGAATGATGAGGAGTCAGTATTTATAGGGGGTTACTTGGGAGGAATTCAAAGGGACGGTCGATCTAGACCGTTCGATCAAGAGCGGATCAACGATGCAAGATCAAGCGTGCTGAGGATGATAGATAAGTTTGGGACAACTCATCGTGGGTCAGTAATATACGACGAGCTCAGCGTTTCCTGAATGCGACGAGCTCCGGGTGTTTATGGAGTGCCGAGCTCGTGGTTTTTTGTCAAAGATGGTTTGATACACATTAATTTTTCTTTTTTCTTTTTCTTTTTTTTTTTAACCCTTTTAAACTTCATCTATGCTCCTCTTAACCAAACAGAAATCTCAGGTCCTTGCTTCTTTGTAGGTTGATCAGCTTGTTTTTGTGGACTTGATGCGTGAAAGTTTTCCTAAACTTGGTTTGACCTTGTTTCTTTGTAAAAGTTTGCTCTTCCTTTTTTCTTATGATAAATATTGAGTTTCTCACTGTTGCCATGTCTATGCAGTGAATCATCTTGATTACTTGGGAGTGGAGGTGGCATGGATTTCTGGTCCTTGGTTCCTTTCGATATTTGTAAATATACTTCCATGGGAAAGCGGTGAGGACTTCTGCTATTGTCAATATCTTTTTCAGTTTCGATTATTTTTCGGTCCATCTCTCCAATTACATTATATAGAATTTGAATTATTAATATTTCCTCAGTTCTTCGAGTATGGGATGTGCTCTTGTTTGAAGGAAACCGTGCCATGCTCTTCCGAAGTGCACCTGCTTTGATGGATTTATACGACGAGCTCAGCGTTTCCTGAATGCGACGGCTCCGGGTGTTAGGGAGTGCCGAGCTTGTGGTTTTTTGTGGATGTGACAGGTGACGGGGTGTTAGGGAGTGCCGAGCTTGTGGTTTTTTGTCAAAGATGGTTTTTTGTGGATGTGACAGGTGACGAGCTAGCTGTTTTGCGGAGCTCGTGGTTTTTTTGTCAAAGATGGTTTTTTGTGGATGTGACAAGGGACGAGCTGGCGTCTTTGCCGAGCTCATGGTTTTTTGCTGACCTCGTGATTTTCTTGTCGAAGATGTGACGAGCTCAATGTTTCACCGAGCTCGTGATTTTCTTTATCAAAATATGATCCCACGATTTTTCCGAGCTCGTGATTTTCTTTATCAAGATGCGCTGAGCTCGTGATTTTCTTGGTCAAGAAATGACGAGCTCACGGTTTCGCCGAGCTCGTGGTTTTCTTTGTCAAGATGTGCCGAGCTCGCAATATTTTGGGATGCGACGAGTTCTTGGTATTTTGAGATAAGCAGCATGAGGATAAAGTTGTAAGCTGTAGGAGATAAAACGATGATATAAGAATTGTATAATTAATTTCTCAGACGACTCAAAGCATATGGCAGCTCGCCCTCAAAATCTGGGAGCTTAGTTGATATGGCATAGGAGGATGATTTCTAGTGTGCTGAAGCTGAGCCGGTTTTAATTTGGTATCTTTCCTACCTAGCTGGGTGGTTCGCGCATTTAGGGAGCTCGACCATTGCAGGGGTAGCAAAAGCTATCCCAGCCAAGAGCTCTGAGCTACCAGGTCGGCTATGAACTCCAAGGTGCCAGAAGCGCGTTGCCATGGTGGGCCGAGCTGAAAAGAGGAGATGATGTAACATAGCATGAAAAAGAGTAGCTCGGTAGACATGTGACGTAACGTCAAATAGAGGAGCTTGGCGGGTATGCTGGAATAGCTCAGCATGTACATCACCTAATCGGTTTAGTAGGAACGCTGAGCTCGTGTAGACTTGCGAGCTATGCGGGGGGTAAGATCGGGTTCAGGAGCTCGGTTTTCAACCAACCTAGCAGGCCAAAGAGAGGGGCTGAGCTCAACACAGCTCGGCAGGTGGAAAGCACGACGAGAATGTAGGGAGATGAGCTCGGCCTCATGAATGGAGGTGGTAATGCCATGGCAACCACTAACAATGACAGGCTGCTCATAGTGCCGAGTAGTTTATTTCTGCCATAGATGAATAATTCCCATACTATATGAATAATTCCTATGAAGCCGAGCAAATCTCTTCTGATTTACGGAATCACTCTCATGGGCTACATCATTTAGTCCCCCATTATCAAATAAGCTATTGTTCTTTAAACTAAATAGACTTTGTTTGAGAATAAGCCAAGCCCTTCTTGATGTATCCAAATCGCCCCTCTTATTGTAATTCCTCATCCTTGGGCCTGCTATATAGAGCAGACAATTGTATGCCGGGCTTATTCAGCTATTGGTCCGAACCCGTCGAAGACCGAGCTGTTAGTCCGAGCAACTACTAGGCCGAGCAGGCACTAGTAACACAAATGGGCCGAGCAACTACTGTAACAATTATTGTCGAGCCCAATTACATCCAACCCAACTACTGCTGGACCGAGCTATCACCCCTGAGATTAGCCAATATCCTTGAATCCGCGCAAAATGCCCTTAGGCCGAGCACTTTACCTCTGACCGAGCCCTTTACCCTTTGACCGAGCTATGAGTAGTCCTCTTGTTGTGAAAGCCGAGCTGCTTATCACAGGGCCGAGCTACTTAACACAAGACCGAGCTGTTAGTAGTCTCTCACTATCGCTTCAAATTTTCAATATTTTTTGTTTCGATTTCAGAATCCAAATCTGAGGTTTATTGTGTTAATTTTATTTTTTATTTTTTTTTAATCTTTGACTAACACATATCCATGTGGGTATGTGTGTGTGTGTGTCTGGCTCAATGATAAAAAAAAAATCCCCTGAAATTATGTAACCAGCATGACATATGATCTTACAAGGCTAGAACAATCCGTATGTATACGTAAGTATAAATTTTATTTATTTATTTATTTATTATGGAATGTACTACTAAAGACAAATAGGTCGGCTCAAATTCAGTCTGCAGCCCAATACACCAACTCCGCGTCGCCGCTGACTGTGAGACTTAAGCTTTCGCCTCCGCCGCCGTGCTCCGTGCTCTCTTCGACCACGAGTCAGTCACTCGAGGTAAAGTTAGCTTAGTCCAGATAAATATCTAAAACCCTATTCGATTTGAGGCTTGATTTTGCAATTGATTGTGATTTGTGCGTTTGCTTGGCTTGATTTTCTTTCGTTGTCAAGATGCGCCGAGCTCGTGATTTTCTTGGTCAAGATATGACGAGCTCACGTTTTTTTCGAGCTCGTGGTTTTTTTGTCAAGATGTGACGAGGTCGCAGTTTAGGTGAGCTCGTGGTACTGAGGAGTGCGGAGCTAGTGGTTTTGACGAGCTTGCGATATTTTGGGATGCGACGAGTTCTTGGTATTTTGAGATGAGCAGGATGAGGATAAAGTTGTAAGCTAGTAGGAGATAGAACGATGATATAAGAATTGTATAATTAATTTCTCGGACGACTCAAAGCATATGGCAGCTCGCCCTCAAAATCTGGGAGCCTGGTTGATATGGCGTAGGAGGACGGTTTGTAGTGTGATGAAGCTGAGCCGGTTTTAACTTGGTATCTTTCCTACCTAGCTGGGTGGTTCGCGCATGTAGGGAGCTCGGCCATTGCAAGGGTAGCAAAAGTTAGCCCAACCAAGAGCTCTGAGCTACCAGGTCGGCTATGAACTCTAAGGTGCCAGAAGCGCGTTGCCATGGTGGGCCGAGCTGAGGATAGGAGGTGATGTAACATAGCATGAAAAAGAGTAGCTCGGCAGACATGTGACGTAGCGTCAAATAGAGGAGCTTGGCGGGTATGCTGGAATAGCTCGGCATGTACATCACCTAATCGGTTCAGTAAGAATGCCGAGCTCGTGTAGACTTGCAAGCTATGCGGGGGTAAGATCGGGTTCAGGAGCTCGGTTTTCAGTCGACCTAGCAGGCCAAAGAGAGGGGCCGAGCTCAACACATCTCGGCAGGTCATGGGAAAGCACGACGAGAATGTAGGGAGATGAGCTCGGCCTCATGAATGGAGGTGGTAATTCCATGGCACGGTGTTCCCGTTCACATGGTGTGGATATCACTTTAAGCGATATGGAGAGACGAAAGTGGCTCGGCGGGTACATCATTCAAGTCAAGTTGTTATGATCGACGAGCTAAAAAGCAACGAGATGAATTTCCAGGAGCAGTCGCATATATGCGGGATTAGGATATGGTCGACGTCAGGACTAGCCCGGCACGTACCTGGGAGGTCGGAGTTGGCATAACAGTAAGCTTGGCCCATAGCTTGATCTCGGCCATAACGACGGGAAAGTAACATTAGGGCAGCCGGTCTGTTTGAAGACAGGGGCGATATCTTTGCGTTGAGACCAGCCGAGCTGGTGGTGACTGTCTTACTTGTTGAAGAAGTATAGTAAGGTTGAAATTCTGGATGGATATATCAGATAAGTATTGTTGAAAGACAGGATGGAAAGAGGACTCTCTTGGAAAAGGGTTACTTTCGCTGTATAAGGGAACAGGTTTTTCTATTGATGGAAAGAGGACTCCCTGCTCAAGCTAAGTTGATGCGCCGAGCTCGTGTTTTCTTGGTCAAGATATATCAGATATAAAATATATATAAATATATTTATCGAATCACATTTTTATTTTCGAAATAATGTGGGCCGGGCCCCATCAATTTAGCCCAAATCTCAGCCTGACCCGATAGAACAACAGGTGATACATCATACATGCGTCATACGCTATCATACACACGCGCCAACCGTTAAATAATTTTTTTAAAAAAAGTGAAAAATCGAAATCTGAAAACTCCCGCCATAGTTCAAAATCCCGAAAAGCTATGGCTGCAAAAACAGTGGAAGCTTCATTTCCTTCAAACCTCGAACGCAAGGTGGCCTCCGCGCTTCTC